CCCCAAAACCCCAAAACCCCAAAACCCCAAAACCCCTCAATATCTTCCTTATGTTGAATGATTATTTTTTATTCTTTTTCTCCATTATTAATCTTTGAATAGCAGTTAATTTCTTGCCTTTAGTATTACTCTTCTTGACTTCTTCCTTTGGCATGAGTCCTGGTCGAGCAGGCTTCTTTTTCTTGACTACAGTCCTAACCACTTTCTTCATTGGCAGCGGCACCTCAGGATGTACGATTCTGTAAGGCTTGTAAGCTCCTTCCTTAAAAGCTCTATTCTCAACTTGCTCTAGTCTTTCTTTATACCAGGCGAGGGTGTCTTCAAAGAAAGGGTTTTCAAGTTCTTCAATGACTTCGACTATTTTCTGGTACCTTTCTATTATGTCAAATCCGATGACTGATTGCATTTTACGCAAGCATACTGGTCATAAATACATCGGTTTTCTTTTGCCTTCAATGATCGTGTTGGATCCATTCATTAATCACTCGTAGTACGGTCAATGAGGCATTCAGAATGTGTGAGTTATTTCATGGGCCAGAACTTTTAGGGATCTGAACAACAGTCTATTGAACTGGTTCTGTTTGTGGACTAATGATTCGTAGCTAATCTCTTCTTCCTTTTCGTCCTCCTCATCGTCATCCCCTGGAGAGAGGCATTTTCTCCATTCGGGATCATATCGGGCAGTTGAAAAGACACCAGTATTTGATTTGAAATTAGAAACACCTATTACATATCCAAAGCCTTTTCTACTGAGATCGTCTCTGACAATGTTCATATATGTGTAGGTGTCCTTTGGCTTTTTGTAAAAGGTCTTCTCCATAATATCACTGGAATCAAGCTGAATTCCATATGATTTTTCATACACTTTGATGTCTAGGTTTTTCCAGTCACCTCAAGGCAGAAGTTGAACATGCATTCCGTGGAAGAATGCTTTAGCATATTTGAATCAGCAAGTGAGGAAGTACTCAGGTATTTTCTCATCCTGAGGTTTGAGGTATACTTTGCACTGATTGCTATACACCTTATTAGGCCCATCTGCATGATACTCAGCAAGTGTCTGTTGAGGTGTATCATGCCTGTAAATCCACTCATAAGTATCGCAATCAGGGCCTGAAAAAGGCTTTTTCCTTATAAACTGCTGATCTATATCCTCTTCTTCAAATCATATCTGTAAACGCTTAGGAAGTTTGCTTATATCCCCTAGAGATTTGATGCATTCCTTCTTGGTAGGTAATCTTTTTAAGGGCTTTACTGAACAACTTTCCATTTTTTGTTTTATTTTTTAATTATGTACTTTCCAAGGAGAACAGCTAAATATGGGGTTTTGGGGTTTTGGGGTTTTGGGGTTTTGGGGTTTTGGGGTTTTGGGG